ATTAAATATCAGATTTGTTGTTTGTCTTATGTAGATTGTTGTTTTACTATAAATTAAGTAATATAAATTTAAAAAATGATTTTAAGTTCCGAAGTACTGAAATAATACATTTAAAATTGTTTTAGTAATATTTTAAGCAATTTTTATTAAGCAGTTTTTCATATTTATTTAATGTAAAAATTTATTAAAAAACATTTTAGTGGATAAGCGATTTTATGGAAATTTAAGATGTTTGGACAGAGGGGTAGATAATTTATAGGGAGTGAGTGTAAATGAAAACATAAACCTCTATTTCAATATTTTTAATTTAATTTGGCTCCAAAAAAAAAATTTTATATTAGTAGCTTACACCCCTAACCCTTTTAAAAAATTTTTATGTAACAGCTAACATAATGTTTAATTTGTCTTTTGGGGAAGGGATAATTAAGTTTTTCTAGTTACATCAATGATTTACAAAGATCATTAAAGCGTTAAAGAGGTCGATTTTTTTATGTTTGCGATTGACGTTAGGGTCCTGAAAATACATATCACAAAACAAATTCCTTTAAAATCTTACGTTAAATCCATTCATACATATATATTAAATGATTAAGTAAATTTTTATTTATTTAACGCAAAACAAATAAAAATCGAAAGACAAATCATATAGGTAATAAAGTATCGAGTTCAGATTTGCAAGAATGATTAGTACACATTCCAACTTCGAAACCCAATTAATTTGTTAGCAGCTTTTAACTTTATCAATAATGTTGTTTTTTGTAATAAACAGAGTTGTTAAAAATTTTTTTTTTATTTAAAAACTTGCGTTGAATCAGTTTAGTACGTTTAAAATGTCCCGTAGAACTAATGTAATTTTTAAAAATTTCGGTGTTTTAAAGACGCAGTGTGTAAAACGTAAAAGCCCTAAAAGTAACCATAGTGTAATCATTTATGGGATATTTTTTATAAAATTCAATAAAAGATAAAAAATTGAATCCGTTAAAAAATAATTGACTTGTATTTTTATTAAAATTATACCATACTCAACGAATATATATTATGCAACTGTTTATCTTACAGTTTCAAGAATTGGCTTTGGAGTTAAAATTGACACAGTAATGTGCCCTGTATGAAACTCACTGGCGCCCCTCTCGTTATCAGCCGTCAAGCTATTAATAAGACATTTGGTGACTTATCTTGTTTGTACACGGAGAGCTCAAAGTCTACCGAGTTGAGAGCGGCTGTCGATTGGTGTGTTTGTGGTTTGATTCATTTTCGATTTACTAAAGAATACTATCCTTTCCGACGCCTTTGACTATTGTGCGTTTTGTTCTTGTTTTCGACGCCCATTTACCTATTTCGACCCTATACAGGGTGACATGAGGTAATTATAAATAACTTTTAGCAAAAAGGTTTTTGTTTTGAACTTGCATCTAATATGTCGGCAACACATATAAGGACCAAACATTTTCAATCTAAAATTGAATCTGTTAAATATTCTAAGAGAAAAAATCTACTAAAATCTATACTAAAATACAATTGGTGTTGGCTACCGTTCTTTATGAACAAACAGTACCCCTATATCAGGTTATGTTTCCATAGACTACGAATTTTGTAACACCTGTCCTATTACCACAACAGAATTGTACTGCTTCGTGATATTGACAATGAAGTGATAAATATATAAGGTTACTTATTTATGTAATATTTATATTATAAATATTAAATAGAAAGGTTCGAGCACGTTTCCATAGATTACTTTATTATAGTTTTGTAAAAGATGGACTTTGTACTAGAATTTTTTATTCATTTTTATTGGGTGGATACTTAGATATCCAATTTATGAACGTTATGTCACGTTTCCGCACAACCATCACGTCCAGTTAAGGTAAACAATACTGGTTGTGTAGTCTGCTCTATGCAGATATCATAGATGTATAAAAATAATACATTTTATATGTTCTACATTTTCCAGTTTGTAATTAAAAAACCAAACCTGTTCAGTTTACGGGTAACTATTAATTTTGTATGTTCCGTAATGATTTTTAATATAAATATTCTAATATGGAAATAGTCACTATGTATTAAAGAAGATAAGTAGTTTATTTCTATAAGTATCAAGTACCTAAATAAGTTAAACTATGATTATAACAAACGACCAACAAGCTTAAGAATCAGTTTCAAATGTATTACGGAATATGTTTTTTATAATGATTGTAAAACATTTAGCTTACATTGTAAAGAATCAATTTAATTATTTTCAGCAAAGAAATTATTATAAGACTAAATATAGATTAAGTGCACTGGAAAAATTAATTTAAATCATATCTTAAATTCAATTTTTGTGATTTATCAACTTTTTCAAAAAACTTACAGAGAGTGATATTTTAAATTTGATCAAGTATACAGTGAGATTTTTTAAGAATGATACCCTCCCCATTTTGATATTAAATAATGATTTTTTCATAAAAATGTACAAATTTGATTTATTTTTATACACTATAACAAATATCAAGTTCATTGCAAGAAAAAAAAAATTTAAGGGTAGATTTTAGGAGTAACTTTTAAAAGTTAAATAGGAATCTATTATTATTGTATTATAATAATAATACTACTCCGCTCCTCACTTTTTCTAAATCTTTGAATCCTTATATCTCAAAAAATAATGTTGTAAAACTGGTTATCGATCATTCAAAATTTGATTTAGACCATTATTCATTTAATAATAATATGTTCCTATTCAACTTTCAAAGTTACACCTAAAATCTACTTTTAGAAATAACTTTTTCTTATGATAAACTTGATATTTACTATGATTTATACAATTAATCAGATTTTAGTTTGTACACTTTAATGAAAAAGTTATTATTTAACAAAACAATGGGGGTTTTCATTAAAAAAAAAATCACACAGCAATAAACATCATGACGCTATAATTAAAGAATGTAATAAGAAATCACTAACTTAAATAAAATTCAACAAAAGATAAACCATAATATCGACTGACATTCAAAAAGTGAAACAAACGGAAATAAATTACACAAGTTGACATCAAGAACGTTTCACGGCTTTTTAATTTTGTATTGTGTAGAAGCGAATCGTTTGCCTTAAAAAAGACTTTAAAAATAAAGTAAGTTATTTGTATACATTTAAGTAAATTCATTTATTGAATCAAATCAACAAATTATCATAGTATGAATACATTTTAATCAGCGTGTATTTCATTTTACTTGGTTGAACAAATTACATATCTCTCAGGAACTTTCTCTTGATTTCAATAATTGGAATGACCACTAACGAATGAGATCTATTAAATGTATAGCAGTGAACCGTTTATCTCAGTGTAGTTAAAATGTAGAATTTTTCTAGTATAACATTTATTTGCTATACGAAATGTATAATATCAAAGAATAATTTGATAATTTCTTTAACATAAATAGTAGATTACTTAATGCATTAAAAAAGTAAAAAAAACATTTACATTAATTAAAGCCAGTAATTATACTATATATCACAGGATACGAAATAATTAAGATAACTTTTTTTTACATTATAATATGACCACTAGTTAAAACTTTTATGTGTTAGTATATAGAAATGTTGTTTCATGTGCGGGTCAAATGGAGCACTACTGACATTCAATTCTGTACATTCTCATATTAGTGTGTGCCATCCAATAAACCGATTTCAATTGAATGGCTTCGACGACACACAACATTTTTATAAGTAATTTAAAATGTCTGTGCATAGAATCATAACTATTATTTGTTGTTTATATTTTATCAACAATCAAATTTATCAAAAATAATCTTTTAGATCTTCATATATGGTTGTGCAATAACACTGTTAAATGAAAACATTTGTAACAAAACACATTTGTTTCTTTATCGTGATATTTATTCGAATAACATATCAAAACAAGTAAACAGTCATGAAATGCTTATTTTGTAGTACCTATATTTTTTACAAAAACGATCTGGAATTCAGTTATTTACATTTATGGGTGACAGACTTTCTGCCATATCTTTAATAATACGTAGAAATTCAAATTCCAAGTTTTGAAAAAACGGAGCGGTATTAAAATTGATTTTATTTATTTTTACTTTATATGATAATACAGCATGCAATTATTTTAATAATCTTGTGTTGGTGGAAATCGGAGGACCATAAAAAGCTTAGACCCCCATAAAATATTACCTATATAGTTCTTGAACAAATAGAAAATAATTAAATACTCATACAATAATTTTATTTAGCTCTCAAACTTTCGATCAGTTGAGACCTATGAGCTCACTCGCGATTGTTAAAAATCATGAAATCATCAGATTTAATACAATATTAATATACTTTTATACGATTTATTTTATGCTATATCGCTAAAAGTAAATGTATTTTGTTTAATTCATCAATAATGAGCAATTTAAAGTAACTTTAGTGATTACTTCACTCTAAATATGAAAATTATTCTTACCACGCGCTTCTAAATAAATTATTGGATTCCAATACTACAGTAAAAGACATTATTATGATGTTTTTTAATGGATAGTATTTTACTTAAATTAATCGCCGAAATGCACGCAAGTTCTCGGACAACTGTAATGAAAATGTAACGTTTATTTTTCTTATTAATAAAATATATTTATCGCTGTTAAAATATATATTTGTAAAATATTTTTTCAGATACTCATGTTTCACATTTCATACATATATCTAGATAATATTGCTTTGTTTCGCTAAATAATTGAAATTCATTTTAGTTAACTTAAACTTTGGCGTTTTAAATATATTTGAAATGTATTTCTTTTTTTTATTTTAATAAAAATTATTAAATGAGATTGTCTTTGAAAAAATCGTATAACAATACTCGTGTCACGTGTGTGGTAATGATAATATGTTTTCATGAATAGCTGTAAGTAACAAGTTCAGTAAATACATTTTGAACTCGGACAAATAGTGATAACTCAAATGAAAATGAACTATGGTAGAATGAGAGTGACAAATTATTGTCTCAGGTAATTTACCTGTGGATGATAAGCCAACGTGCGATCACTTGGATGCTGAATCGCGTGTTACCGGCGTGTGTATGGTACTTGATAACGGTACGGGTCGGTTGGCGATCGTGTCGGCGGCGTTACTGAATTCGGTGCCGGCAGCGAAGACGACGACGGCCACGATGACGTCGCGACCGGATACTTAGTGTACAGTACGCAAGCGCTCGTGAAAACATAGGGCGACCACAAGCCGCCGGAATTCATCTATCGCTTAAGTGTTTTAGCGGTTCTACAACCTTATTGATAAACATATTGATAACTGATCTATACATTTATCATATGAGGGGATCCAACACGACCAAGTCCCTCATTGATTCTGTTAAAACCCAAGTTTCTTCAAGCAGACGTCTTGTGAAACCTGTTTTAAATACAAGTAAATAGTTTAAAATGTAATATTTTTTATTTTTGGCGTTTAAAACACGTAGCGGTCAAAATGTAACAACCCTAACTTTAGGTGAAATTGCGAAAAAATTAAACAGATTTAACTTCTAAATAATTTTTTTAATGTTAAAATTACAGGTTTTTTGGTTCTAAATTTTGTCATTCACATATATGCTATAAATATACTAGTCTATAGACAAGTAATTTGTTTTTATAGAATTCATAGTTCTAATATTATAATATCATATAAGCATAGCACTGAAATGTACAAAGGTCATTCACCATGTAAGTAGTAACATTTTTCATGGGATGGCAATACTTCAAATTCAATGTTAAAAGCATAAATAAATCAACATGAATATGTATAGTTTGTGAAATAAAATAAACAGGCTTTTATGAATGTATAGAAACACTTAGGTTTTCTGCCTACTATATCCTCCTGTCATTAACCCTGTATCGTGACTAGTCAGTCTTAGAAACATTAAAACTATTTCCGGCACACGAATTTATCCGTTGTCATTTGTCGAAATATAACTGCTACAACAACAACCGCCACGGGGAGTCAATAGCTTAAACAATATTTCATTTCGGTATGACAATTGTTAAGTTTACTGAACCATTTTTTCTTATATAGTATGCTGATAGAAAACGCTGTTTATCAAGTTATAGAGCTTTTAGAGGTATTATCATTTTATTTATACTTTAGAAACTTATAGTTTACGATAAAAATGAAATTACAAGAAATACAGATTTCGAATTTGACTTAACATATTCTCGAAAGAAAAAAGGTTCGCTTATTTTTCATTCTGGACACATGATAAATGTTTATGAAAATTTCAATTACTCTTATATTTAATGTAATACAGAAAAAAGGTTTTGTTACAAGTTATTTTTTTAGTGGAATTAAAATGAATTGAACAATATACAGTCGATGTTGTGTACAAAGAAAATAGTGAAATATAATGTGATTCTTTTTTGCAATTGTATAGATTGTAAATATAAAGTAATAATTTATTATTATTCTCAAGCTATTTATTATTGTAAAGATTTTCTCTAAAAAAATGCAATTTCATAATTACAAGTTAAAACTATCTTCCCGCCTTAAAGTTTACTCGCTTTAAGATTATTTAGATTTGTATAATAAAAAGTTAAAATTTTAACTGTCTTATTGTAGATGAATTTATTTAGTTTCCTTGCAAACAATACTTATTTTATACTATGACATTTCAGTAAATTAATAAAAAAGTTAAACCAATTATTATTATTTTATTCAAATTTATTTAATAAATACCAAACATTAATGTTGTTGGTAGTGCCATCCTTACTATCATTGGTGGTTCCCTAAGGCAATAATATATTTAGCGCCCACATATAATATAAATTTAAACAAAATACATCTAATACAAAAAAATTTCTTTGGTACCTAATAATACTTGTCCACATTTCCCCCCTCCCGCCTTAGAAAGACCTTGGTTATTGAAAAAAAAAATGTTATCCTAAAATACAGTATACTATTTATAAATCTAAATTACATATAATATAATAATTATTTTTTATAAAAATTAAATTTTCATACTATTAAAAAACAAGAACGTTTTATATTATAAGAATTTTAGGCGACAATGGATGAGTATTTTTATAAACATGAAATAACAGTCATTCATCTTAAAATTAAACTACTTAAATGGTTTTCAGAATCATAATAAATGTATACTCATAATTAGCCTTAATTTTTCATAATAATTATTCATTCATAATATGCTGTTTTCATAATGTACATTAATATTTTCAAAGAAATTTAAATGAATTTAAGAATTCTTCTTATAATAAAATTTATTTATTTTAAGGACACATAACTGAAATCCAACAAAAAAAATAGGTTTTTTTTGTATTATTTAGTCAAAGTATTATCAAAGTAAGATTTAGTATGTCATTTTCATAGTAAAATTAATTCTGTACTTTATTGCTATAAGGTTATGATTCAATACATCAGTTTAAAAATTTGGTTTGTTTATTATAAATAATACAAAATTAAAAATAAAGAAAAGGTCATCTTTTTGTTGTTACATAAAACCAATTAAATTACAGAAATTAAAAATAAGTAAAAGTTAAAATAAAACATCCGCTTTACATAAATATCACCTTAAATTGTTAATACAAATTTATTGATAGGCAAAACTTTTATAAATATTAAATTAATATAGTTAGGTATTTTGAAATTAAGACTTTTTAATAAAAGTCTTAATATACTCCGTTGTTCTATTAATTAGTAAAGAAATGTCACCGCATTATTTAACCTTGAATTTAGTTACTGTTGTTTATTATTTAAAATTCTAAAATTAACGCCCTCGTTAAAAATTTTAATGAGTAAAATTTACATAGGAACGAAAATATTAAACTGTAAAATGTCTTCAATGTTAAACTTTAAAACATCTATGTACTTTTTTCAGTATTTTTTACTATAAAACTAAGAAAACAAGTTTTACCTTAATACACAAAGCAAAACTTGTTTAAACTTTAAAATTAATCAAATTTAGAGCCTACATAATACTCCTATATTACTAACACCTTTTATTTATAAAATGTTTTAAGGAAACTAACATAAACACTTATTTATTACATACATAGTAAAATAGTGTGCGGTTCACTACACCTGACTCTTCAGAATTGAAAAATTATGTATTTTGGATTGTTGTCAGGTCAGGTTTAATTTTAACTCAAACGTAACAAACGAAAATAACTTGTGTTATTAGCGTTATATTTCCTTAAGGTAAGATTATAAAAAAAAAATATTTAGAGTGGAAATCATTGTTATAAAATGATAAAAATGTATTAATTTAATAGTATAGGTTTTAAACTTTTAATTCACAAATACATTTAATTAAATTTTTTATAAGGTATACTTCATGATGTTTTTTCAGCTTAATAACTGAAAATAGATTTAAATCGACATTTAAAATGTTTTACTTTAAGATAAACTTAAATAAAAAAATTAAAAAAAGTTAAACTTTAAAAAAAAAATTTTTATTTTTACTTCTTCATTTAGTTTTATACATATGAAAATATACTTTATACAATGTGTCAATTTCATTTATATTGATCATTGATTATTCATAAGGAGATGTTTAAATTTTTTAATTATATAATTAAAACAAATTAAACAATTATGTAATTTTTAATGCTATTTTAATGTAAAATATATTTTTCGGCATTATTAAATATTTAAAATTAAAATAATAGTATATAAGCTAAAAACTTGATCATAATGTTGATTGATTTGCATTATATGTGTTTCAAAACATTTTTTCTAAAATTATTATTATTAATGACGTGCTTTTTTAATCATTCGAATATAGGAAGCTAATAAAAATTTTTGTAAAAAAATCATTTAACATATTTTTATATATGAAAATATTAATATATATATGGAATAATTATTTGGCACGACATGAATTTTAGATATTAAAACAGTAATGTAGAAATGTTATATTGTTTACTTAATATAAAACTTCTGCAGACTGTAAATAAATATAAATTTACAATTAGGTGAAATTATTAATTAAATTTTAGGTTGCAATAAAATGTTATAACTTTCATTCGTCTTTGACGTTTTTGAAAAGCTTAATGTAGTATTTATTTTTGTAATATGTTCAAAACTTATAAACCAATGTTATTCTGTTTAAATCGAAAATACTTTTTTTTGCTCCATCCAATGTTAATTTTTATGATAATTTAATAAATCTGTACTCTTTTTTTTATATGTAAAAGTTTGTTAAAAATGCACAATTTTTTTTTAACAATTTTTTCATTAAATTAGAATTTTAAAAACAATTTATATCAATTATTTTTATGGTATAATTTAACTCTTTATACATAGTTTTATATTTTTCAATCTCTTCACCAAATATGTATATATAATATATATACTATAGATTATACTACTATAAGCAACTATTACTATTGAAAATGAATAAAGTTTTGATAGAGGGGCTGGGATTTTAGTATATAGAGGAAGATTTCATAAAATAAGTTAAAATCTTATAAATTACACAAAAGTTCAAATTATTAATACTAAGCATGTTCAGTAATTTACTACGATTTATCCTAACTATCCTCACATTATACGCGTTAAAAAATTCCAATAGCCACAAAACAATTTCGATACATTAATATTGTCAAAATATTCATACAAAATACTTTTTAAAATATATTGAAGCAAATATTGTGACATTATATCATAAGTATGATAAAAAATATATTCTATTTTAAATATTTCCATAATTTACCCACAAAATATTTTTTATATATATTTTGAGATTATATTAAAGAGAATAAATACAGAATGTTGAAATAAAAATATTTCTACAATGTCTTTAAAAAAATATATTTTTAAATATTTGCTTATAAATATTATGAAAATATATTAATGAGAATAAAAATAGAATATTGAACTCGAAATATTTATGCAATACTTTATCAATATAATTTTTTAAATATTAAAAATATATGTCTTGTTAGCCAACCGAGGTAACTTACGAGAGCCAAAAAACCCCCTTGCCATATTTTTGATGCACCCTTTGATGTTATTGGTAACATACAGAGTGTTCAGTAAGTAAGGAAACAGATAAATTGTCACAAACAATGAGAACAATAGAAATCCGTTTCCTTACTTACTGAACACCTATATATGTATACA